TATATATAGGTATGTGAAAGGGCATTTTTCAGGACCTATTTATTTTATTGTATAGATATAGGGTATGTTTTGCGTAGATTATAATGCCACCCGCAGTTTTTGAAAAAAATAGCTACTTTTCAAGATATAAAAGATATCGTATCGTAAGGCAGTTTTCAGGTCTATTTGTTTTCTAAGTAAAAGCCAATAATTAATTTATTTTTAATGGTGGCTTCTCCTAAATCTACAATATACAAGTGATAAAATATCATATTGACATATTTTTGCAAATTAGAACTTACAAGAAATAGAAGAATTCCTCGATGTCCTGAAAACTGCCTTTTAGAAAATAAATAAATCGGCTGAAAGGCATTTTCAAGGCCTTTATTAGACTTGCGTTTAAAAATGGAATGTTATTGTGTTATATATATTTTCAGACATAAATGAAAGAAACCAATGTTGACAACGCAAGTTTACATTGTTTTATATTAATAAATATGCAAACAATAAAATTATGTATAATTATTCGATGACCTGAAAACTGCCTTTTAAATAAACATTATATCAACAGATCGGTGTTTTCAAGGTCTATATAGAATTGCGTTTGAAAAATAAATTTGTACATGTTGTATATCTTTCTTTAGGTATAAATAAACGAAACCGGTGTTGACAACACTAATTTACATTGTTTCATATAAATAAATAAGTAGAAAATAAAATTGTGCATAAAAATTTGATGACCTAAAAACTACCTTTTAAATAAACATTATATCAACAAATCGACATTTCAGATCTTTCAGATTCTTATAACAAACACACTATTAGTTATACTTACAGAAAGCTACGCGTTTTTTATTTTTGTATGTATATTTTAATGCTTATTTAAAGAATTGATTGGAGGATCTCTTGATTGTGTTCTTTGTCTGTACGTTTATTATTTAATAAAATTATTTTTTCAAATGGTAGATAAATTTTTTAAATATAAGTAGAGTATATATATGAATATGGATATACAGAATTTTCAGGACTGTCTCACAAACAATTGTTGAGTAATTAAAAATTTAAATCGAAAATACAATTTGCATAAATATTAGTACATTATAACATGTTATAACACCCAAATTCTGACTATTTATTTTCGAAAAAAAAAAGAGTAATATAAGAGTAATAGATGATCTAATACATATATATATACACACACTTATAAATATATTTATTTGATGGATATTATGTCAAAAATCTTGAAAACTGCCATTGCATTTGCAAAAGTGAACCGAAAACTGCCCTTTCAAACACCTATGTATAAGTACTTGAAAGGGCAGTTTTCGGTTCACTTTTGCAGATGCGATGGCAGTTT